TCGGCCAAAGTCTTACATAGCCTCGAGCTCACTAGACTCTAATGGAACAATAATAATACCACCGTGGTCGCGTGGACCTGCCGCATGGAGCTGGCCCGACGTCGGAAGCGGGGAGTTCGCTATCATAAGGCGTACTTGTCAACTTGACATGTACTCCGTCGTGTCCATCACCACCCACAGCGCCATTCCTTGCTGTCCGAAGCGTCTGTCTGTCCGTCTGTCCGAGGAGTCCGTCTGGCGTCCGTCATCGAGCTGCACACCCATCTAGCGCACAGGGGCGCGTACTACGACAGCTAGCGCAGTGCATAACTGTACTGTACATAGCCTCACTTCCGACATGTCGATGCAAAGCCATCTGGATGCTCTGCTTGAATCCGATTGACCAATGTCGCCGCAGGTGTGCCAGCTCCACCGGCGAGCATTGACGTGGTAAGCCCGATGTCGTGGCATGCATGCGTCTGTTACTTGGACAACGCCATCACCAGAGCTGCGAACGACGCCTTCAAACATTGCTCCAACCATACGAGCCTCTGATTGAGCCTCAACACTTTCCGAGTATAGCTCCCGCGCGCGAGGTTGGGCGGGAGCTTCGTGTGGGACCGCGGAAGTACGACGACAGCCGCAACGACGTGTCTCGTCCAACCGATGGCAACCTCAAACCAGGGCCCCATAACCCTCAGGTACCGCCTGCAATCCTATGGCTTCCCCAGCTTTGGCGTGTCGACTCGTCATGCTGTAGCCGCCGCCATGCATCGGTGCGCCATCTCGGCCATTTCTGAACCATGGCGCTTCTCGCCTGTGATTGGCCAGCCCAGCGACTACTCGCGATGCCTTGAAACCACGGGCGGTCCAGACGCGCGATGAGCAAGAATAGCTGCAACCCCCAGCTATGCCATTTTCAACAACATGTTGAGCGACCAAGCAGCCTCGACATGTATAAGACGTGCTGTCCGACAGCACCAGAACAGTCATCAAACACATCACCAGCCAACTCAGCACACTTCAGTTCCTTTTCCTCTTTTTCCTTATTTCCTATCTGGGTCTCATTCATTCTTTGCTTTCCTACTCAACGCTCTCTTTCCTGCTGTGCAGATTGCCGTTCTTTGCTGCATCAACACTCTACCACTTCAGCATCAATCTCTCTCTATTCCATCAGCCAACATGCCTGTCCCAACCTACAACGCCAAGCCCTTGAGCATGATGCTCGTGGGTGCTCGCGGCCTTCAAGTCATCTGCATGATTATCATAATTGGCATCTGCTCCAACTTTGTCCAGATGATTGTCACGACGGGTGTGGAGCCGCCCCAGGAGTTTGTTGGCACACTGAGTGTGGTATGTATTGGTTTGTTGTATGGCGATGTCGGTATGCTAACATGTTAGGCCTGCATTGCGACTCTCTACATCATGGTCAGCGTTGGTTACTACTGGTCTCAAGCCAACCTCGGTCTTCTCGTCATGGCTGGTGTCGACTCGCTGCTTCTCATTGCCTTTATCGTCTGCGCAGTCACGCTTGGAAAGCCCATGTCTTTCCTCAACTGCTATGTCATTGGCAAGACGTCGGCCGAGATTGACGCGCAGTACGCCAATGCCTTTGTCACGGCCACGGTGGAGAACCTCAACAAGTCCATCTCCAGCCTGGGCCACTGGGCGGGTGTGACTCGCAGCAACTGCTTCCAGGCCAAGACTGTCTGGGGCATGACTATTGCTCTCTGGTGAGTCACATGTATACTATTCTGCTGCCATTACTAACCTGAGCAGCATTCTCTTCACTGTTTCATCCGTTCTTCTGCCTACTCTCTGGTACAAGAACAACATGAAGAAGCCAGCCAAGACGGTCGAGGAAGCTTAGATGAAGACTGGCCAAGTGAGCGTCTCAGATCAACCAACGAATCCGCAAAAGGACTTGTTCAAGCAAGCCTTGCCAATCCCTACCACCTCCCTTTCCTATCTGTCAAAACCACAAAAACAGTATGCATCGCGACGGAGTTTGGAGTTTTTCTTTCTGCTCGGACATTGAGTGTCCCTAATCCTAATGGATATTACCGGCCTAGTAGCCTAACCTAGAATCAATCATCATGTTTCGTACTGGCGTGTGCAATGCATCAATTGGGGTGTTCAGTTTCAAAAACAAACTTCATGTCTTACCCACTCATCTCTCTAAGAATGGACTCAGCCAAGAAGATGAACTGATGCATCAATTTAGAACCCCGCACATGGCTCTCGAGTGCTAAATATCTCAGCCGTCGCAGCCGAGTGTCCAAGTCAGAAACTCAGCCCAGCCGCCAGTTCGGTATCGCCTGGCAGACTATCCCAAGCCCAACAGAAATCTCTGCAAAGCCACCCGTTGAAAATTCTCCGTATTAGAAAGAAATTGGTCAGTCGCACATCGGCGTCGAGCGGACATGTCGACGAGGATAAAAGGCAAAATTTGATGCCATCCGCCGCTGCACGGTTACCAAAGCGCTTCTTATCCGCGGCTGCTTCGCGCTGCCATTGGCTGGCCAGACTCGTCCTCCAAGCCTCCCACGGGCGCTCCCAAGCTCGTCGCATTTGCAAAGAACACGCCAGCTGATGCCATCGGTGCGCCCAATGTCGACAGTGAATGTACGGTGAGCGCATCGTGCCCGCAGACGGCGTAATGCAACGTCCAAAACGCCTCGTGTATGGCCATGCCGTGCCCATGTGACATGTGCACACCCCCCCGGCGCCCCGGGTGCATGCTTACCGCGTCCCCGCTTTCTGGCACTGCGATGCTCTCTCCTCGTGCATATATAGAACCCTGCTTCCATTCTTTTTTTGTTTTTTGCCTTCCCGGTGCCACGAGAGAAGCGCTGGCGATTGCGCGCCGCGGGTACGGAAAATCGTCAACACCAAACCAGCAACCCTTCATTTGGCCGGCCAATTGCTCCGCGGATAGCCTGTCGGGGCGCGACGTCATATCCAGCTCACAGAGCATCCATCGCTGCTAAAACAGTGCCAGTCGCAGGAGAAAGCCCATTGTCACGACAAACGCCGCCATGTCGCTGTCGCAACGCGTCACGTCGATAGAAGAGCATGAGCCATGGAGCAGAGAGGCGAGCCCCGACTCGCGCCATCGCAAGATGAGCTTCAATCCCGTCGGAACCTGGACTGAGCAGACGGGCGAAGAGCCAACCATCGGCGCCTTTGAGGTGCCCCAGTGGAAACGACTGCGTACGTTGCACTGCCGCGATATGTCTGCGCACAAAGCTAATGCCGCCCAGTCCAGGTCTTCTTCGCCGTCATCTACTGTCTCTTCGCGGCTGGCGTCGTCTTTGGCTATGCCGCCATCAAGCCCGTGCTGCTCGATGAGGGCGTCTACAGAGACTATTGCACAGACGACGAGCTCGAGAGTAATGTACATGTCTGCTACGAGCAGGAGCTCAGGCTCAACCTCATGTTCACCATCGCTGCCGTGTCCACCAATGTCGTCGCCCTGCCTGTTGGTACCATTCTCGATCGATATGGGCCACGCGTGTGCGGCATAATCGGCGCCATATCCATTGCAACTGGCGCCTTGCTCTTTGCCTTTGCCGCGCAGCTCCCCTTTGACGCCTACATTCCCGGTTACCTGTTTCTGGCCCTGGGCGGCCCCTTTACCTTTATCTCGTCGTTCCAGCTCAGCAACACGTTTCCGCAGTACTCGGGACTTATCCTCGCCCTGCTTACCGGAGCTTTCGACACGTCGAGCGCCATCTTCTTGATGTACCGCCTGCTGTACCAGGGCAGCAACGGCCACTTTTCCATCAAAAAGTTCTTCCTCATCTACCTCGCTGTCCCGGCCTTTATCCTTGTCGTCCAGGTTCTGTTCATGCCTGCGGTTTCGTACAAGACTGTCGGAGAACTCGTCACCACGGTAGAAGAAGAGCACGTTATCCACGACTCAGACGACGAAATCGAAGACGCAGCAACCGTGCGCAGCATTCAAGACGCCCGCCGCGCCCATCGCGATAGCATCGTGAGTGAGATTACGTCGCTGCTGGGTACCAAGAACGGCGTCGACCAAGCCAAGGCAGAAGAGAAGAAGAAGAACATTTCCGGTGTCTGGGGCGCGCTCCATGGTCGCACTGCCAGCGAGCAGATCCGCACGCCGTGGTTCATTCTCATCACGCTGTTTACCGTGCTGCAGATGACGCGCATCAACTACTTTGTCGCCACCATCCGCACCCAGTACACGTACCTGTTCCACGACTACACCAAAGCCGTCGAAATGAACAACTTCTTCGACGTAGCCCTCCCCGTCGGCGGTGTCCTATCCGTGCCGTTTATCGGACTCCTCCTCGACAACACCAGCACCACCTTTACCCTCGCTCTCCTCGTCACCATCGCAACCACCATCGGCATCCTGGGCATCGTCCCAGAGACATGGGCCGCCTACTCCAACATCATCCTCTTCGTCCTCTACCGCCCACTCTACTACACCGCCGTCTCGTAAGTCCCTGCATACCTCTCTCCTCGTTACCCGACTAACACCCCACAGCGACTACTCAGCCAAAGTCTTTGGCTTCGCCACCTTCGGCAAAGTCTATGGCCTCATCATTTGTCTCGCGGGCCTCCTCAACTTTTCTCAATCCGCCCTCGACGCCGCAACCCACAAGCTCTTCCGCAACAACCCCGTCCCCGTCAACGTCATCCTGCTCAGTCTAACTCTCCTCGTTGGCCTGTGCCTCGTCGCCTACGTTGCGCGCAAGAGCAATAGCATCCACCGTGAGAATATCGAGGACGAGGCCGAGACTGCTACCGAGTCACTCATGCCGGACACCAGTGTGATTAATGGCTATGGCTCCATGAACGGACAGGGACATGGGCTGGCGAATGGATATGCGAGTGGCGAGGCGAGTCCGGTTGAGGAGAATAGGGGGAGACGCATGTGAAGTTTTGCTTCATGGCTAGTTTATTCCTCATTCTATTCTGTTCCATCTTTTTTTTGGTTTTATTTCTGTATCCTCGTTTATCATTCCCATCATTTCCAAAAGTCTTGCTTACTCTTTCCTCTCTTTCTCCCCTTTCTGTTCTCAAAAAAAACGTCAGCATGGCGAGGCGTTTGGGTGTGTTCATAACCATCTTTCTCTTTTTCTTTCATCGTTTTTTTTTGGATGCGATTCTCAGTCATCTACCCATCTACCTATCTTCACATATTCACCATACCCCTAGCAAGCATATCACTCTAGCATATCATCACTCAGATTGTCTCTCTCTCCCTCCCTCTCCCTCTCCCTCTCTCTCACACACACACACACACACAAAACACGAAAGAGTCTAGACTGCCAATGTAGACTAAACCAGCTTACATACCAGGGAGGTGGGGTAGCGGTATTATGGAAAAAGAAAAGGAAAAAGAAAAAACTTGCAAACTGGGGTATTCCGACTTATTCACACAACTTGGACTTGCACTGGAACTGGAACCGTGATGAAATAAAATGGAATCAAAAGGACATACTTATACGTGTACATGACGAAATATCCTTATACCACACGTTCGTACTTTGAATAAATAAAAAATTAAAAAGTCCAAGTTTCAAAATTGTAAAAAAAAAATCTCCTACTGACTTACTACCTCATTTCGGCCTCATCGAAGCCCCCCCCCCCGTTATCCTCTTCGATGTGTAGCTTACACGTGTCGCCTCCCATGTACATATGTATGTATGTATGTATGTATGTACACACGCTGATTATACTGATGATTTATTACATGCACGTGCATATACTTGGACTCGGATTGATGTACATGCATCCGGGTATGATGAGGATGCAACTAGGTGGATGGGTAGGTAGGTAGGTAGGTAGGTAGGTAGGTAGGTAGGTATTTCACTAGTATATATCAGTATATCAGTATACTAATATATTAGTATAGTATAGTACATAATACCGTTGTAAGCTTCAAGTCTATTGATACCCTATCTATGCGATAAAACATGTGGGGATTGTATATATAGGTACTAGTACTCCTACACACACATACACACATACACACACACACACACAGAGAGAGAGAGAGACATAAGCCAACTCACACAACAACAACAATAACAACAACAAAAACAACAACAACAACAACAACAATAGTAATACACGCATAAAACAATCCACTTCCACCTTCACATTTCCACATCCTCACCCACCCCACCCCACTCCGCTCCCCAATCAAATCAAATCAAATCAAATCACTCCAACCCCAGGCTCCAGCCACATCGCCCCAACGTAAAATCTTCATCCGAATCCAAGGCACAGAAAAACAGCATAGCACCAGTGCACGGGTAACACGCGGGCTGCAGCATGTACAGTATGTAAGTAAGTAAGTAATTCAGGATGAGTCAGATTTGTACCCGAGGACGGGAGATCGACGCAGGGTACGGCATGGGGCTGTTGCAGCAGGTGAGATTGATGCATGGGTAGGGCAGGGTAGGGTGCATAGGTAGGTAAGCTGGGAAAAGATGTAAATTAAGTTTTTTTTTGTCTTTTTTTGTTTTGTCTTTTTTTTTGGGGGGATAAGCAATGATGACGGAGATTGGGGCTGTACAACAACAACAACAACAATAATAATAATAATAATAATAATAATAATAATAATAATAATAATAATAATAATAATAATAATAATAATAATAATAATAATAATAATAATAATAACGTGGTTCACAAGTGAGTCGCTAACCCAAGCGAGTCGCTAACGCCCCACTAGCCTATCAACTTTATCACTATAACGCGTAACGTCTTAATAACATAACTATCTATTAATATATTTTAAATCTGATCTTTAACTTACTCTTTTTAACGTTTAGTTATAATATATTTAGAGTATAAACTATGCTACTACTATCTATAACGTCCTATAAAGAACTTAGACTGGCGAATGGGTATGGGGTTCCCAAAATGGGTATAGAGTAGGGTAGGGTCGCACAGACGTTGGGTAGGGATAGGGTTGGGTCGCACGGACCCGGGGTAGGGGTAGGGTTAGGTCGCACAGACTATGGGTGAAGGTAGGGTTAGGTAGACCGTAGCGTGGGTAGGGGTAGGGTTAAGTCGCACAGATGTTGGGTAGAGATAGGGTTAAGTTGCACTGTCTATAGGTGTACTTAGGTATAGGGTACCTATACTAAGTATAGAGTACCTACGCAGGGAAATTATATAATAATAAGCAATTTATTAATTACATCTAGTTATTATAGATAAGTAAGCCGCGTTATAGGATAATATAGGCATTAGAAATAAATAAGATAATATTTATCACGACTTGTTATCACGGTACCAAGCTGGTCTTCTACGCTTCTGTGGTGGGAGCAGTAGCTCTTCTGCACTAGCTTTATGCTTAGCTTTATCTAAAATACTTTAATCCTTATTATTATATTTAGTATTTGCTAGAAGCTTAAATATATTGCTACACTTGTCACCTAGTTCCCTACTATCTTCCACCTCTATATTTATAGAACTTCTATCCATCTCTTGCTTAATTAATAACTTATAAATCATTACTTTTTAAATCTTTTACGTAGAAAGGTAATACTAGTAGGTGCTAATTAAATCCTTTGCAATATTAAAAACCCGCTCTACACCTAATTAGGAAATTAGTACTGCTAAAATGTCCTTAGCAACTTAAGAAAGGTAGGGATACGAGCTCTCGCTAGCCTTCCACTAACTTAGTAGATTACAAGATTTATCTAGTAGTACGCAAGCACTACTAAGATATGCCTCTCTCTCTTCATATGTTAGCCCTTAAATCTCTTTAACCTCTTAAATAGAAGATTAGCTTAAGCTTAATAATCTACTTGATTAAGAATAGGTTAAAGTTAGCTTTTGAAACTACTTATTACTTTTGTCAGATAAGCGGCAGAATCCGGGTGCGGACTCGAGCACCAGGATTCTGTGATCCTAGCCAATCAGAGTCAAGCGCCAAGCCCACCCTAGGTAGGGCCGATACATGAGACACAACTGATACCACTGGTGTCGCAGCGACAGCGCTCATAAGGCGGCGCTCCTGCGCGCCGCTGGCGAGGACAGAACAATCAATACAATCAATTTCTCCCATCAATTATCGCAGCTATTCATCACAGTGACTTAAGTCTATCCTTGATTAGAAAACACCTCACAGTCTGACAACTTTACGACCTCTATAGACTTGGCCCTAGCGAAGAAGAGCTAAT